GTGGTTCTAGAAAATAGGTGGCGCCACACCAGTCACGTGACCTCGATGACGCAACAGTATTCTAGATGACTAAGTTATAGATAATTATAGATGCCACTATATGTCATATTATCTAGCCTATATAAAAGCCAGTGTGTGTCACGTCACGTCACGCTTGATTTTTAAACTTATGTTGTTTCTGAATTAAGGTATTTTCTGTTATATCATCAATATATTAATAAAAAAAACCTCTTTTAAAAAAAACTCAAAATTAAGAAATCAACAAATATCTTTTTCAGTTCTGTTGTCTATACATTTCATTTTCTACTTTCAGTACATAGACTAACAACAATATTAGGTTCTACTGTTATTGCTAAGCAACATGACATAAAAGCCATTGTTGGAATGCATTATTACCAAAATGCACTGGCTTTACTATATATTAGGTGTTGTTATATAAGGAACCACTTCTTTTCTATATGGTTTTTCCCTAGCTTGCCTCATAAAAAGGATGCAAATGTGCATGCACACATGGATAAGTAATAATACCCAGGTGCATATCCTCAGTATCCACATAGTATAGGTGCAAAATTTCAGGTTTGTAGGTTCTTTGATCTAGGAGCTATGGCAGTCACATTTATTTTCTATGTGGTTTCCCATAAAAAAAAATGTGCATGTGCACACGCATGTAGAAAATGAATAATACCCATGTGCAAACCCTCAGGGTCCACTTAGTATGATGCAAAATTTCAGGTTTCTAGGTTCTTTTTTCTTGGAGCTATGGTGGTTACACAGACACGTATGCGCACATGTGCGGGTCTGTCTATCTGTCTGTAATTTCTATTTGTAATATAATAAACAATTTTTCTATGTGTTTTTTTGCTAGCTGGCCTCATTAAAAGGATTTGCACATACATGCACACATGCATGGGGAAAAGATAAGTAATACCCAAGTGCACACCTTCAGGGTCTACTTAGTGTGGGTGCAAAATTTCAAGTTTCTAGGTTCTTTCCTCTTGGAGCTATGGTGGTCACACATATACAGACATGCATGTGTGCATGCACATACATGTGTGTCTGTCTGTGAATTCAATTCGTAATATAAGGAACCACTTCTTTTCTATGTGGTTTTTCACTTGCTTACCACACATGTGGTTAAGTAATAACACCCAGGTGCACACTCTCAGGGTCCACTTTTTATGTGTGCAAAATTTTATGTTTCTATGGAGCTATGGCAAATACATATTCTCTTCTATGTAATTTTTTGCTAGCTTGCCTCATTAAAAAGATGTGCATGCTTGCATGTTTGTGAATGAGTAATAATACTCAGTGCACACCTTTAGGGTTCACTAGGTATGTGTGTAAAATTTGAGGTTTCTAGGTTCTTTCCTCTTGGAGTTACAGCAGATACACACACACACATACATACCTTTTATTATTATTATAGATTCTGCATTTCAAAAAATAAACACTAGGGTATTTTATTCCAATGATATTCGTTGTTATACAATCACTCTTTCTTTAGTTTTTAGACTTGTTAAATAAAATTATGAATTTACCTTTGAATTCCTAGACATCAAAGGTTAAAGTCTATGCTAAAAAAATTTAACTTCTTTAAGATATATATAATTAGATTGGATAGAAACTTCTGCCAAAGTGTTTTTATAAATAAAAAAAAACAACCAAACTTAAAGTGGTTTAAATAGCTTTACTTACTGTTTCAATGATATTTTAGCCAGAGTAGCCTTAGTATAGCTTGGTTTAATGGATTGCTCCTGCCTGGTTCTACAGTGATATGACGTTTCAACTTCTTTGCTAAGGCCTTCAACCTTCTGAGCCAATCAGAAAACTAAAAATATGGTGATATAACACCATAAAATAAAATGTGTTGTATTATACTTAACCTTTCATTTTTACCATGTGTACTTTCTTTATACTGTGGCCTTGGTTGTATTCTCATCTCATGCTATGTAAGCTGTACGTGCCTAATCTGGCATTTCTAACAGTATTCTGTTTTGTGGAGTTATGTAGTAGCCACTTGTAAGTAATGAAATAGCATGACATCTAGTTATGCACAGAAATTCAACGTCAACAACAATGAAGTTGCATGGTTCACTTTAATTCTGTGCTTCTGTGAGGCAACACTGCATTCACATCAGTCAAAAGTAGTTGTTATGTCAACTGAAAAAGTTACTTCACAAACTGAAAAGTCGGTGGAGATTTTATGATGTTGTTATAAAAGAATTTGTAAAGAAAGATTGTTGACTGTTTTTCATGTAAAGTGTGTAACTCTATTCTATATGTGTTTGTGTATTTTTTGTTATAAATTGGGGAATGTTACACTAATAGGTTCTTACTGCATGACCTACTTTAAAACCTACCCCATGCCACTGGTCTCAGTATAGAAACCAAAATGACATTCCACTCTAGAAATAAACAGGAACAGTCTATCAAAACTAAATTCTACCATATGTTTAATTATTATTATTTAGTAAATATTTCCACAATAACATAGCAAATTGTAGTAAATTTTACTTTTGTGATTTATTGTAAATTTTTTTTTTCCATGGAGAAAAGGTTTTATTCAAACTTGATGATAAAATATTCATTGTAATTTCAATTCTACAAACAAAATCTAAGAACTAAATATCAAAACATTGTATGAGTATGTTAAACCAGTAACTCTGAGACTACCTTTAAAGCTTCAAAGTTGTCTCTCTCAACTGCTCGATGAATTGCTGTCCTCCCATCTTTCATTCTGAAATCTAAATGTGCCCCACCATTCACAAGTTCCATTAACACTTTTGCTGGTTGAGGAAGAGCAGTGGCAAGGGTCAAAGAAGTTTCTAGAAAAACAAAAATTAATCAAATTAAGTTGCAGAGTGAGAGATTAAAAGTCACACACTAAACAATTGTCAATTACAATGTTTTTATAAAAAAATCAAAGTTCATTATGACAGTAACATAACTTCAAACAAACTTAAGATAATCATGACCTTTAAAACAGTTAACATAATAATAATATATCTAAAAGACATTTTTACTATTTATAAATTGCTTTGATATCAAATTGTACAAAAATTGTAATCATAATTTTTTTCTCAATTCATTGTTACATAAAAATATAATGCAACAAAGTTATCACAACATTACCAATTTGAATCCTGTAAAACTGGGGGAATGACTATCATTCCTAGGGCATCATTAATAAACCAGAATTTTTATTAAAAGTATTTAGTAAAATTTGATGTTAAAATGAAAGAAGTGACATTAGTTTTTATGTCTATTCAATATTCACAATAAAATTGTACAGTACTCTGTAGATACATTCAAACTAATATGTATAGATGAACTGTTCATTCCAAATTATGCTTATTTCTTAAGATCAAGTAAAATACAGAAAAAAAAAATTATGCTAGTGATATAAGCATCAATTGCAATTTGGGTTGTTTTAACACAATATCTAAGAAAATGTAAACTACATACCACCAGACTCTGGACAATGAAAGTTAGGATCTAATCCTTTAGTACATAATTTATTTATTTTGTCTACATTTCCACAGTTGATGTAGTCAATCATTCGACGAAGATTAGCCTGTAAGATATACACAGTCAGATGTTTTATCACTCACTCAGTTAATAAACAACAGAAGTTCACATTACTGGAACACTGAATTAAAAAATAAATATAAATACTGCAATACAACTTAGAGTTAATAAGAGTAAAGTTTATAATAACTTTTCTAGCAAAAATCAGTCCCAGCATGAAAGATAACCAACAAAAGTGGCTGCCTAAGGTACCAATTACTCAATGAATCCAATATTAGTAGGGGTGCAGCCTTAATTTTTGCCTATATATGGTACCAGTTAAGCTGTCACCATACCTGGTAGAAATAACTAGTGGACTTTCACAGTCAGGAAATTAAGAAATGATGCAAAACTTGAATTAAATAGATGGTGAAATATATTAAATCATTTAACTCAGGAGAAAGTAAAATGTATCTCATATTTTCTTGTATGTAGTTGTAACTTCTATGTATGTAGTTCTAGCATGTACATACGTACATGTGTAAGATTAGATAGACCAAATTGATTTGCATGATACAACTTACATTAACTGCAAAATCATTTAAGTTCATACAATATCTAAAAAAAAAAGAAAACTTACTCTTGTATGAAGTTGTTTAATCTGTTTCTCATCTACATTCATTGTCTTGTAAACACGACGCTTATATCGCAGCTACGGAGGAGAAAAAAGTCTTATCTTCTGAGCATTGTTATTCAAAAGCTATACAAATTTTGAATGTAAGAGCAAGAACAGGTTTTATACTGTTAATTTTATCATTTTTCAGTCTCATAAATTGATGCTTCTGTGATGTTAATCAGTAGTTTATACATATTAATATTTTATTATCTAGTTTACAAAAAAAACATAGATTACAAGATACATAAACTTCAGAGATATTTTCATCCTTTTTATAATTTAATACAAAAATGAAAAGTAACACTGCCACCATTACTATTCATGCCTGACAAAATAGAGATAAGTTTTGGTTCCACACTTGGTAGGATAATGATAGCATTACACTAACCCATCAATAGAGAGTTACCTAGCTGTATTAAGGCTTCTACCTTAGTACACAGCTTGCTGATAAATCTATTTCAGTACAGAATCATCATTCAATATGTCAACCAGAAGCTCATATTAAAACTCTTTAACCAACATAATGCTAGAATTAGTACAAAGTCTTGTTAGGTACAAAGCCAGTCAATCAATATGGTTCTATGAACAATATATACAAGGCTAGCACTAATAGGAAGTCTACAGTCAGGTACAAAAAGTTATTGTCTAGTTTAAAAAAAAACATAGATTACAAGCTACATAAACTTCAAACATATTTTTCATCCTTTTCATAATTTCAAAACAAAAATGAAAAGTAACATTGCCACCATTACTATTCATGCCTGAAAAAAATGTAGATAAATTTTGGTTCCACACTTGGTAGGATAATGATACTTATACTACAGTCAAATACAAAACTTAACAATTGATATACTATTAAAACCAACAATATTGGAGCTAGATTTAGTTAGAATTCTTTAAGTATAATAGTTTGGTTTAAAATTTAAAAATCAACAAGAAAACAGGCTTACAAAAAATTTATATTAATACAAAAAAGGAACTTTGAAATAAGAATATAATTAGCTAAAGTAGGAATTCGCCCATTTTCACTAATAGCTTAATTACTATTGTGATTATTTTTTTACATTCAAAAGTCTTCTTATAAATTATAAAGATTATAAATAAGCAAGGACAATAAGTGTATTTTTAAAATATAAACAAAAAGTTCTAAATTCTAATCATTTCTTTCTTTTCATAAGAATTGTGGGCCTTGACAAAAAATTTAATGTTGAAAATGACCAACTTAAACAGAGCAAAGATTTACTGGTCTATTTCTCTTTGTTGTCTAGCAGTTTTCGCAGCTTCAATTTTCACGTGAGCAACATACTCTCATGAAAAATTCCCAATTTCATGGATCGAAACCTCAACGTTTAAAAGCATTTGGCAGAAAAATAAAAACAAATATTTATACTTAAAGGTTTCAAAAAAATGTATAAACAGTTGCAAGCCATAGGCAAAATTAGCCCATTACATTTAACTAATGTAACAAGATTTATTATTTCAGTGATTCTAAACTAATTTATAATTCTTTTATTACTTATAAACATACTTCAAGATACTCTACAGGTTCACTCAAAGGATAATCAAGTAGTAGCCTTTCTTCATCCAAGAACTTGCCAGCTTTCCCATTCCTTGGCAAGATGAAGATCCCATAGTTGAAGCTTTCTTTTAGTTCCTGAAAAAATAGAAAAAATTTACAAACAAATATCACACAAAAGGTTTCACGTGATTTATCAAAAAAAGTTAATTATTTTTTTAAACATTTAAACAAGATGTATGAAACACAGAAACATACAAAAACATTTCCTATTTAATGCATTACCCTATATAAGCCAAGCACCTCAACAGAGAACAAAATACATACATACATATGCAAGTTGGTTATAAATATATTTTTGTAATTGACTTAATGGATTTTTGTAGTATTAACTTATTTTATTTTGCACAATATATTTCATAGTAATATCTATAATACTGAAAGGTTAGATAACATGAATGCTAGAAATAACCTGAAACTTCAATACTCATAACAAACACAAGCTTTTGACACTTGCAATTTCAAGCAAAAATAACTTAATAACATAATGTAAGTAATGACAGTTTTGTATGTTGTGTACAAAAAATGAACTACTAAAAATTATTTTAAGTATGCAGTACACAAGAAAGGTCAAAAGTAAATACGAAACATATCTCTTGCTATATAATATTTCATTTTATAGCAATACTGAAAATAAAACAAAAGAACAGGGGAGATTTAAAAATAAAGATTCTTGCCTGTAGTGGAGATGAAAAGAAGTAGAATACAGGACTGTTATGATAAACTGTACTTACTTTTGGGAGAGAGGAGAGAATGTGTTGTTTAACATCCCAAACCAATTCTTCTACATTAAACTGAAAAAACTTCTGAAAATAATGAAAGAGAAATGGTCTTATTGCTTGAGTCAATTACTGAATGAGTTATCTACCTTATATTGAGTTTAACTACTAAACGTTGTTATAGCAGCATCTAAATATTGGTTATCTTGTTTGCACACAAGCTGAACTAAATTCAGTGGGAAGTATCATTAACAAATCTAAGAGCTGAAAAAAATGTACTCATGTAACTACTTAATAGAATATAATAAAGAACCATGTAAAATCATACTTCAATGTTCTTGACAAGCTTAACAGTCACTGTTAGGTATCTCTTGTATAGTTTTAAAATATAAAATAGTTTCAAAGCTACTTAATAGTGGTTAATTTAGTTATTTCACATTTTTTATTCTGTGATATATACAGACACACAAAACTCTGAGATGTCATTTTTTATGGAATTCTCTCATCAAGTCATTTGACCAAGTAACCTTATCAAGCAATCAACGATTCCTTATTCTTAATCTAAAGAACTAATTACAGTTTCACTTTTAATTAGCACATATGTGAAGAGTTCATTCCTATATCCATGTAAAAACAAAGAACTGTGATATCAATAAGTAATGTTACCAGTTAATTTATCAAAAGTATTACAACACATTATTACTCTAATGTTACCACTTTGATTTTTTAAAGCAGAATTAGGAGAGTACAGTACACTAGGTACTATCTAGTTAAAATAGCTTGAATTTAACTCTTAGATAGACTAATACATAACATTTTGCAAACTAGACCAGTCAACATTCAGCCTTGTGTTGTATATATAAAGACTCTCCAGTCCCCTTCAACACACACACACACACGTTTTGCCAGACTTACTATTTCAGGTAAGCTTGAGCCATTGTAAACAGTTTTCACTGCAATCATTAGATGGCATCAGCATTTTCAGTTAGCAATGATGCACTGATAACGTTCTAGATAATTAGTGACCAAGCACAGACCTATGGGAATGGTCTGGCCATTTCTATAATTTGTTTGTGTTGATACCGTTTTAGATATAATAGACATGCAATCAGTACAGAAGTTTCTGAACTTTAGTGATTTGACTCAGTGTTTCCCAAAGGGTTTGATCTCTTACTTTGAAAAACTCAGAGAAACTCCCCAAATGTTATTTTGGTGTTTATGAAAAAGACTTCCCAAAGCAGAACTAGTTTTGCTCAGGGTAATTCTGTTTTGATCTTTATTTGCACTGTTAGAATGGTTTTCGACATTTATGACATCTAAGACACTGAACGCTTAACACTTAATAGAAAAAACAATAAACGTTCTTCAACTACTTTCAAAATTCTAGGTCTGTCAGTCACTAAATGCTCTCAAACAATGAAAATGGTTACAATGAGAAGAACAAAGTAATTTATTCTAACTATTACTTCTGTTTTGCAGTTTTCTTGTTCTCTTTTGATTTGATTCTAATGTTGCTGACTGACCTCTCTTTCTAATCACTTTGACTTCATCAGAATCTACATTATGATTTCATCCACAATGTTTGCATTACCTTCCAACACTCTTCCAGTGTATATTGACTAGTTTAGTACTGAAAATAGGTTTTGTATATGTAAGTTAATTTGCAAAAGACAGTGGACTTTCCCCAGAATCTTCACACAAAAGGAGAGAACTCATTTCTAAATGAAAATTTCTGTGTAAGATATGAATTGATAAGCACAAAGGTTGTATTGTTCAAAAGCTATAGTACAAAATTATCATTGAAGGGTAATTCTAGTGCTTATTATCATATGCCAGATACTGTGGTGACCAAAACCCACACTATTTCTATATGATAGACTTCTGATTTTATGGCTAATGTGTGTGTCATGATTATCTACACTGTATACAACTCATCATGCTTCTACTGTATGTTTTGAAGTGATCACATTAGCACTGTAAACAGCTTGTCATGCTTCTATGTACGAGTTCAAGTGGTCTTATTAGTACTTTAAACAGCTTGTTATGCTTCTATGTATGAGTTCAAGTGGTCCTATTAATACTGTAAACAGCTTGTCATGCTTCTAGATGTATATGAGTTCAAGAGGTCCTATTAGTACTTTAAACAGCTTGTCATGTTTCTAGATGTATATGAGTTCAAGAGGTCCTATTAGTACTTTAAAACAGCTTGTCATGCTTCTCGATGTATGAGTTCAAGAGGTCCTATTAGTACTTTAAACAGCTTGTCATGCTTCTAGATGTATACGAGTTCAAGTGGTCAGATAGGCATTTGCAGGCCTAGCTTTAACAGGTTGGTGAAATAGGCAATTGAAAATAGTCCAAGTATTATTTTTCTTAGAGGTATGTATAAAAAAATGAAAATTCAGTGTGCACACTTTTGCTAAATTTGAATTTCAAAAATGTATGCTTTAAAATATCCTGTTACAGTAGCAAACACTGAATTGAGCATTTGCAAAGTGTGCACCTCATGACCACAGTCAGTGGCTCCTTATTTTATGCTATCTACTAGTACTAGTGCTAGTGACATGAAGCAGTTAATTTGATATGCATCTCCTCAGGTGAGGCAGTTATCTACTTCTTTTTAGTTGCAAATAAATATTTGACACATCAGTGATGAATAAGAAAAACATTGGAAAATAAAAATTATAAATGGCATCTTCCCCTTCATCTGTTCACTTTTGCTCCTAGAGATCATTTCACATATCTCAGTCCAGAATAAGGGAGTCATTGTTTTTTCTGGTCATTCTCACATGTTGTCATCCTTAAAAGTAACACACTTTCTAATCCCATGTTATCTACTTTATAATATCTGTAATATTTGCAATATCCTCATCCATATGAGTTGATTCCCTTTAAAAATATAGTGAAACAATTACGATTACAGTGTGTCTTGGGTTGATGTAACACACAAAAATATGTGATATCAATCCAAAAGTGCTTGACCAAAAACTCGTACAATAGGTGATATTTCATAAACACAACAAAATAAAGGAACTTGACATTATTCACATTGTATAACTTTATCAATAATGTGAGTAATGTCAAGTTGATATATTGTTCTTGAGTCACTTCATACTTTAGCTAAAGCAGAATTTGGCTTTTCGTCATTCAAGTGTTTTACTGTTCACACAATTGACTATCTTTTACTAGCCTTACACCCCTTTCCATGTCTTATTGACATGGAAATTGTGTTCACAAACACCATATGATAGTCAATGTAAATACTAAACAAACATCTTCTAAATTCAAAAAACTGCACTTTAAAGAAGTGCTTAATGCCTTTGCAGCTTAAAAAAAAAAGATTAGGAAAATCAAGTTCTTCCAAACTTCAGTAGTTTGAAATGAAGTGTGACACAAATAGGCCTGATACATTTAGTAGAAATTGCAACATTTTGTTCATATAATGTTACATATATGCTTATTGATGATGATGTTCTGGAGTTCTGCAGTGGGCAATATTTTAAAATATTACCTAATGCAACAAAACACATACAGCTGGTCCTGACAGATTGCCATGTTCCTATACATGGTTTCAGGTAGTCATATCTATGCTGTATACAACTTGAAATGTCTCTTACATATGATGTTAAATGATCACATCTACACTGTATACACCTTTTCATACGTTTATGTATGGTGTCATATGATCACATCTACATTGTATACACCTTTTCATACGTTTATGTATGGTGTCATATGATCACATCTACATTGTATACACTTTTTCATACCTCTTTGTATGATATAAAATGGTCACGTCTACATTGTATACAACCTGTCATGTATCTTCATATGGCAACCTGACCTCGTACACAAGGTTCAGGTCACATCTACAATGTAAGTGGTCACATCTAAATTGTATGCAGTTAGCCACGCCTCTGCATAAGGTGTCAAATGATCACGTTTACATTGTATGCAGTTTGTCATGCCTCTACGTAAGGTATCAAATGGTCACATATACATTGCATATAATACAGATTTTTTTGTACTACAGTTTCGTGATTGTTCTATCGTATATCTACATACTGCTTTTCATTGTTTTTTGGGTTCTAATACTGACATCTACGTATGTCCGGCTTATTAGAGCTTGGAAATCCAAATAACTATACTGAATATAAATTTTGTTGACATTAATAACTAAATTTCAATAAATTAATTACTACGTTGAGCTTCCTTTGCCTATATCTTCTTCATGTTACCGAACTGAAAATAATATCCATACAAAAACACTTGAACCAAAACGTATACGAAGGCAGAAGAGAAGTCGTGAAACTGTCCCGTCATTATTTGTTAAGCACTGTGTTAATAAAAGCAGTGACACGAAGAAAATAATTATTCAGTCATTGAAAATATGTTTTCGTGTCATGATGAAAATTCGTTACTAGATCTATATAGCACGATAATTTATATTAGCAATAAGCTCAAAATACTAGTAGTCTCTCTTCGTGGTATTATTAGATTTTCCACCATCATGAGCAGAATAAAAACTTCGTGAAATCTTGCCTAGTTGTTTGTAAACTGTTTTATCATGTTATATTGTTTTCGGTGTATTATTGGTAAAAGGCAAGGTAGAAAAGGATGAAATATCACAGATAAACCTACCTCAAGCTGGAGTTCCGGAACAAAAACACGAACACTGACAATATCCTCATTAGTTTGACTACCACTGCCATCTGCTGTTTCCATAGCAACCGCCTTCATGACCACCTAGCTCCTACATCTGGAAATGTAATGTAAAACATCAAACACAAGTCTTTATCAGCTGCCTAGTGTTGGAAAGCTTTACACATTCGACAAGTTTATATATTTTTCCACTTACCATTAGCTTTCCCACTTTGCACGTTTCTTTCACAAAAATAGAAAACAAATTGTGAACCAAATATAAAAGGCTTCAACTGTATTCTTTTAAAGCTAGAAATAAAAACTCATACATATTTAGTCGTATATAATTACATATAAAACATTGACGAATCATAACGTGTATTAGAGTACAAAACAGGACAAACAGAAACTTTGGATAACGTTGCTTCTTCATTCTTGAACTAGTTTTTCCTAAGAACTATCTCAATTTTGCCACATTTTTATATAACCATAGCTTCTTCAAATATAGCTGTTTTTTTTTTTTATATAAACCAAGATTTTGTTGCGCTTCGTAAGTACTAACATAGGAAACATATATATAAAAAGATAAAAAAATTGCGCCTTTATAACCGTCTTCACTGTTAACTTCTTTCGTTATACAAAGAAGCCTATTTTTCGTGCTTTTGAGGCGGCATCTCTGTATTTTATCGATTACAGTGTTCCTGATACAGAACTTAAACCCGTAGATAAACATCAGTAGTATACCGATCAGCGCAGTCTCTGTTAACCATTCTAGAATGAGGAGGATAATCTGTAGACCTCATGATTACACACTATTTACACTTTCATAATGTTTGACATTTATGAGGGTTTTTGTTTTGTGTGTGTAATGTATTGTTAGCAATCAGGATATCAAAATTTGTTAACCCGGATGACAAGTACACGATACTTTTTTTTTCGCGTAAAGCTACACAAGAGCTATCTGTGCTTAACCATCTCTTATTCTGATATGAGACTAAATGTAAGGCAAATAGTTAACACCACCCACCGCCGACTTTTTGGCTACTCTTCTCTTACCAAATAGTGTGAATTGGCGCATCCATGGCCCCAAAACGTGGAAGGCATTCTTGCGGCAAGGGGTTGCGAACCTTGAACTCTCTAATTTCAAGTTTAGGCACCCTAACTACAAAACCACCCTCGGCCCATTTGCTACTGAAATTTGCCTCTTTTACAGCAATATAAAAATACAATATATATAGTTGACACCATAATATTATAAGAAAGACTTTAAAATGATTACTAGCGTTAGTGTAAATAAATTGTAGTGTATTTTTTCTTAACTAGTTATAAGCCTAATTTGAGTAAAAGCTATTAACGCTTTGCGAAGCGAAATAAGCAAGTGTCGTTGTGAGTTTTAACTTCACACTTCTAACAATAAAGCACGTTGGTGTTCAAGTGTCACTCCAGGACGAACAAAATATCGTATCAGCACGTACACACGTGCTTAAAACACTCATCGGCTTAACTAGTTCACACAAGTTTTTGTATTTTAAATACACAACAATTGTATGTGCTTTAATACTTCATGTTAAAACACTCATCGGCTTAACTAGTTCACACAAGTTTTTGTATTTTAAATACACAACAATTGTATGTACTTTAATACTTCATGTTAAAACACTCATCGGCTTAACTTGTTCACACAAGTTTTTGT